AGGCGAGCTAAGAGATGTGTAGGAACTGCGCGAGTATATTTAATTACTTTGAAACGAATGAGCGAAGTTCTGTAATGAAAAATTAACTGGAAAAACCTGATTCCCAAATGGAATGATTTTTGGATTTTCACTTCAAATGAGCAGAATTTCTTGCATTTCCAGCAGTAATTAATCATTTATGTGTAAAAACTTTCAATCTTCAAAGCTACTCGTAAAGTTGTTTTCGACAGATCCAAATAAATACACTAAAAGTATTCATTTTGACTTAATCCAGTTTTAGAAAGTGTAGTCGTACGTCTGAAATTAAGTTAATAAGTGTTCACCAGTTACATTTGATTGCAAATAGTAATGAAAAACTATTCATTATGCATTTAATGTATATTCGTTGTGTCAGAATGATGGAGACAGAAATGTGGATAAAAGTTATCAATAAGCATTAAATAGTAATGCTAAAAGAAGCTAATTTTCCTCAGATATCAACATGGTATTGAAGAATGGATGAATGGAACATATTTACGTGCACCTCCGTGTTTACCACAGGAATTATTAACGAAAGATATGAAATTATCATTTGGGGACAGACCTGACCCATCACGTTTATCGAAACGCAGTACTGACAAAGATAATAATTACGTGGAAATTAGATCATGCTATGTTGATGAACGATTGAACTGGACAATGTTTGAACAAGGTTCTTCACTTATTACAAATGCTTAAAAAACTAGTCTCATAAGATTACCGTCATTTCAGAAATCTTTAAAAAATATTAATTTATTGAGAAAACTGACTCTTCTCTTATTTTATTGCACTTTCGCAATTATTTAGTTCTGTCTGAAAAGTTAAATCAGAAGGGAAATTTAGCATGAAGTCCAGAAGGAAAAGATCAGAATATCATATTTCAAAGCAGATTGCGTAACAAATTTCACCTTAATGCACAAATGACCTTTGATGCAGGAATGGTTTTGAGCGCTCAAAACGTGGGTTCCTTGCTGATGCTAATAATTGGTCCACAAGCTGATCGTATTAATGGTAAGTGGACAGTTGCTGCAGCGTTACTGATCACAGTTCTCAGTAACCTTATGTTGCCTTTGCTAGCAGCTAAGCATCTGACCTTTGCAATCTGCGCTCGCATTCTATGTGGTGTAGCTGATGCTCTTCTGTCGCCTTCTATTAGTTCAATGATTGCAAGATGGTTTCCACCTAAGGAACGACCTTTTGCTATCGGATTTATCACTGGTGGTCGACAAATCGGTTTAATTTTTACATTTCATCTATGTGCATGGTGCAATGATATTGGGGATATGACATTTGGATTACAGGAAGTTTGCTGATTTTGCCTGTATCTGGTTGGATTTGTTTGAACAAGGAAACATTTGGTGGTTGGAAATTAACATTTTATATTTCGGCTGCAATCGGTGCAATGATTCTGATTGTGTGGTTGATTTTGTCAGCTGATAAACCATCAAAGCACTGCTGCATGAAAAATGACGAGACCACGTATATTTTGCGCAAAATAAACGAAGAATCGTTGGGAAAGGCTTGTTTTATTACTTCAATTGCTCCAACTTCATTTTTATCACAGATGAAAACCGCAACAATTGCACGATACTGACGTCTGTTCTCTTATATTACTTAAATAGCAAACAGTTTTGCGTACTTTCTCGAATGCTTGTTCGTGAACACAGTGACCTTGAAGTCATTATCATTTCTTTCACACTTATCTATTTATCAATTTATATAGCTTTGAATTATCACTCAGCCATAAAACACAAGAACTGCTTTCAGTCCTATCTGCAAGCATCAATTCAAAGTTTTGTATTAGACAGAATGAATATATTTTTCTCACACAATTAGTACTGAATGAAATATTTGGTTTGTTTGTTTATAAACACTGTTGTTATTGCAAGAAATATTCGAGCTTCTCGATAATGTCGTACTTTCTCTTTCACTTTTATTATCGTAAGAAGTATGGAAATTCTGAGTTTTTCAGAGGAAAGAACGCGAAAGTACGCCGTGGAAGGAGCTGCTAACTTCCGGCTCGTTTATTGCAGGGATATTTGCAGTCGTTTGTCAAGAATATCCTCTTGTTATTACCACAACAGCAAGTTTTGCATTTACACATACTCTAAATATTTGTTCACTTTTCCGTATGAGCAGTAGTTTTTATATGAAAAATTGAACTTTTGCAAAATTTGACGATTTTTTAAGATCTTATTAATCGAGAAGTAAAAATGTATTCTTATTTTCGGCTTTGCATAGGATTGCTTCATCACTGATCAATCAGAACGGAAGTAAGCTAGCTGCAGATATTTATTTGTTCGGGAAAAAATTTGAATGAAAGACTAGCTAATCACTTTCAGCTTCTGCCAATTTACATGAAAGAAGTTCTGCACCTTTCTGATGTGCGCAGTACATTGTATTCAGCACTACCATTACTGGCGTTGTGGGTAAGCAAAAATCTCTCATCGTCATTATCGTCATTTCTGAGCGCTCGTAAAAGCGCTTGTTGTTTAATGGGTCGTACGAGTCTTGTCAAGCTCTTCAATGGCATGGGTTCTGCTGGACTTGCCCTCGGACTTGTTATGATTCCCTTTCTCAAACATAGCGTTCCTGCGCTTATTGCTGTTTCTGCAGCTAATGCTTTTGCTGGTACTATGCTTTGCTTATTTTAATTTTATACATTCACAAACAGTTTGCAAATAATTTTTTTGGTAAGAAGCTCTATATAAAGTGAATTAATTAACTTTTACTAAGCAAGAAATTCATTAATTGTTGCACTGAATCAGTGTGAAAAATTTAGTTATTTCATAGAAAACTTGACACTTTCTATAAAAAATTATGCCATGTAAGAAGTAAATCCGGAAATTCCAATTCCTCTTCAGATATCTGGAAGACTCCGCAATTTGTCAAACACTTTGATACTGATTTACTGATTACTACGACATAAGTACAAAGTGAAATTACATTCTTACTGATGAAAAACGTGCAAATTTCAGGTCTGCATACTCCTGGTGTATTTACAGCACTCTTACAAATTGCTCCAGCTTACACTGGCTCTGTCACTGGAATTGCATATTCTGCGGGACACATTGCAAAGTTCGCTAACTGCTTTTCATTTTCAATTTTATTAATATGAATTAGCAACAGACTTTCAAAATTATTAGCATCAATTAGGGGTTAGCTATAGCTTTTCCAGCCATACATTTTGGACTTTTTGTTTTCGAGATTTATTTAGCTTTCTAATAATGTACGAATAAAGAAGAAACATTACCAATTATAAGCGCTTCACTTTCGTTGCTTGCATAAAAACCGCGAGTTTACATCTGTAACAGCTAGTTAATTAGCAGATTTGGATAGCACCGATTTCTCAGTCTTAGCTAACTGTTTATAAGGGATTTATAAATTATTCAGTTGGAAATACTTGAATTTAAGCATCGTGAATAAGCTGACGAATGGGTTGATTCTGCGTTCGTGGTCAGCATCTGCAGGTCAGTGGGAAATTCTATATGGAATATCTGCAGTGATCGCTTTCCTACCGGTAGTATTTTTCTCACTTTGGGGTTCCGCAGATTTACAGCCCTGGGCAGTTCCAAAACTGAAGCAGTCATTAAAACCAAAAAAAACTAATACTAACCTTGATAAAAAGGAAGATTTCAAGTTAAATGTTTTACCATCATATATGGCCGAATCACTACCGGTTCCTGTTTAATACATGATACCTTCTGCCATCGACACCAGCTTACTACTTTGAAATTCAGCTCGCACAGTTTCATTCACTTGTTTTTGTTTGAAATGAATTTTGCTCTGAATAATATGGTATAATAATGTTTTGTTCTATTGAGCTTTTCCAACCACAAATTTATTAATTAAATTTAAAAAATAATGCGATCAATTTGGCGGAAGCCTAAGGCAGTAGTAATAGTAATAACCTTTAATGTTATTACAACTGTGGTTAGTGATATTAATTCATATATTTTTTACAAAAATGGGTCAGAATGCAAAACCGCACTGCATTGTTGTATTTTATCACAAATGATTTTGAATTATCATAAAATTGAATGCAAGTTGTAAAAAATGAGCAATTACTGTTATTCGAAGCTTTAGCACGCAGTCAAGTTGTAATAAACGCTATTTTGATAGGAAAATTTATTTAAAAATTTGCATATGTGGTAATTTATTTGAAGTATAGAGACATCTCAGTTGTGACTTAATAATTCGCAGCTGTGTAATTGACTCATGCCCTGAAATTTGTTTTTTCTTCTTTAAACAATTTCAATTTAATGTTGCCTGTAAAATGAAATCACATACTTTTGTAAGCATAGTCTATTTCTGTACATACTATTTCTAAAGTACAATTCTCGCTCACAGGAATGCATATGTTTCTTGAATTGTTCCATTGGTTAGAAATATTTCTCGGATCTATTACCATTTTCCAAGCTTTCTCTCTCAGAAGCGGGTTCAGTTGTATCAAATCGTTATTCAACTTATCTTCCAAGTAACTGTAATAATAAAGTACTGTGTTCACTAGTCTAACAGATCAGCTACAAATTCAACTCACTGAGAAAACAAATCAGTTACGACTCAACCCAAAGAATTGGCTAACATATTAATTTGTCAAATTCGATTTCATCTTGAGCAGAAACTTCTAAATATGAAACAGAATCTCAAATGGACTAACTGGAATACATAAATTCTAAGAATTCTTACAAATTTCAGTTCCCTTAAACTTTGTCAGTGATCAGACTTCGGAAATCAAAAAAGTTAACCATGCAAATTGGAAAAATTATTCCAGAAAATTCTAAAAAATATTTCCAGAAAAAACATAAACTTTGTAAGATATGCTAATTTTTCAAATTTAATAAAAATGCATTGGCTTTCTAGGGAAAAATAGTAGTATTGATTCTTCTCGACATGCGGTTTGCCAGAAGTTTGCTGACATAATGCGAAGCAGAATCATTTTTTGTCTAATAACACGAGCTTAGAGGTCGTTATTCTTCAGATCTCACATTACTCTGTATGTCACGTTATCAAAGCGGTTGTGCGGCGTTACTTTGCTTCAATTTGTGTCATTTCAGTATTGTGCCTGTTTTCGGTCAATGGGAAGTATGTCTTGTTGGGCAAAAACTTTGCTACAGAAAACAAACAGACTAACTTCTCTCATTTCACGTCGTATGAAAGAGACGAAAATAGGAGATTACACTATTGTTGATCACAGTTATGATACAGTTGTTGTTGGAGCAGGTTACGTTTTAGCTATGCAATTCTGCGTAAAAACCGAATTAAAAAACAAGTGCTGAAAAAATTATGCAAACTGTTTTCACAAGGCTGCTATTCATGTATTCAATGAATAATTTCCAATTCAGTTTCAGCATTAAATGAGTCAAATTTAGGCGGAGCAGGCCTCCGAGCTGCATCCTGTCTGGGCCAAAATGGTCTACGTGTGGCCGTTGTTACAAAGTTGTTTCCAACACGTTCACATACTGTGGCTGCACAAGGCGGAATCAATGCAGCAATTGGTAGTATGAATCCTGACAATTGGAAATGGCACTTCTATGATACAGTCAAAGGTAACTAGGCATTTCATGAAACAGTTTACATTTTGTTTTCAATAGTGAAATAGCGCTATGAGTCTAAAGAACTTTGCATTATCAAAAATACCCAAAATAAAGTTATTTGATTTGGCATTACAATCTTATTTATTCTGGTCCTAGCTGACTAAAATTTATGCGCCATAAAATGAATACGAATTTGTTTGATCCAAAGTATCAAGAAAAAATTTGCTTTTCCTGTCAATATTGATGGGAACTTGTAATCTACAATCACTGTACAAAACCCGCTTCACTATTTAAGGTCATTAATTCTGAAAGGGAAGGATTACTTTTGGGAGTTTCAAAACATTTTTTGCCAAGTCAAAGTTGAAAATGAATCATTACTTGAGGAAGCGACTGGTTAGGTGATCAAAATGCCATACATTACCTAACAAAAGATGCTGTACGTGCAGTGACCGAACTTGAAAATTTCGGCATGCCATTTTCTCGAACTGCTGACGGCAAAATTTACCAACGGTCTTTCGGTGGACAAAGCAATGATTTCGGGAAAGGTGGAGTCGCTAAACGGTAGGTCAAGTATTAGAAGGCAAAACAAGATGAATAGTGAATTAAAATTTGACAGTAAATATTCGCAAACTTGAAAGAAAAGTGATAAGTACTCTTATCAGTTCATTTATCTCTCGTAAACGTGGGAACAAACTATCAAATTTCTATGGCATTTTTCGAGAAACATGACCGCTTTTACTTCACTGAAACAAAGTATATAATTCTCGCTTGCTTCTCAGCCCAATATCAATTTCATTTGTGCTTTGTCGTCGTTTGCAGCAATCACCCAAATTGAATCTGATTCTTTACTTAAAAGCAATTGCAAAAATAATGAAATTACTTGAGAAGTTTTGTTCGAGAAATTATCATAAAAAATGACGCAAGGTGTAAACATTTAAGTTTTTAAAGAACTTGCGCTGTGGCGGATCGTACGGGACATTCAATGCTTCATACTCTCTATGGTACATCATTACAATATCACTGCCAATATTTTATTGAATATTTTTCATTGGATCTTCTCATGCAGGAAGGAAGGTGTGTTGGAGTGATTGCAATCAATTTGGAAGATGGACGAATTCATCGATTTAGGTTGAATCCTTTTATTTAGCTCTTCGAGTATGTTATTAGATTCCATCTTGATGAAGTTTATAAACTAATATGTTGCAACTAATCATGATCAGCCTATTTCGAATCAGTTTACTCATTATTAATTAACTCTGCATGCAGGATTGAAATTGACTGTAATACTGGCAATCATTAGTTTCATCAAAATAACTGACTGTCAAGTAAGTGATTTTTTTTATTCAAAAAGTATAACAAAATCAATTGTTTCAGAGCACCCTACACTATATTAGCCACAGGTGGATTTGGCCGAGCATATTTTAGCTGTACTACCGCACATAGTACCACAGGTGATGGCAATGGAATGGTAATTCGAGCAGGTTTACAAACAACAGACATGGAATTCATTCAGTTTCATCCGACTGGTGTCTACGGTGTTGGCTGTTTGATAACTGAAGGCTCTCGAGGTAAGTTCTTTCAGCTAATTGGCTGCAAATGTCTTCAAGAAAGGGCACACGCATTTTCGCATGAAGACGAACAATCAAAAGCAAAGACGACTTACTTTTTTCTATTCAAGAAGTGAAAATCTTTACGAAAAATAGGAAAAATATATGTAAATTAATTAACACTAATGTAAAAAAACGTCACATGTTGGTGTAAATGAATTATAATTAGTTGGCGGTTAAGGATGCATTATTATTATTGAAAATGGTATTTGCAGGTGAGGGTGGATACTTGGTGAACAACAAAGGTGAGCGTTTTATGCAGAAATATGCGCCGAAGGCGTTAGATCTAGCATCTCGAGATGTCGTGTCGCGCGCAATGACTATTGAAATTATGGAAGGTCGTGGAGTTGGCAAGGAACAAGATCATATCCATCTACAACTTCATCACATCCCAGCAGCTCAGTTACATTCTAAATTACCAGGCAAAATTTTGTAAATTATAAATACATTTTCAGTGCACCAGTAATATCGTCTAAAAAATTTCTCCTCTACTTATGTCAAATTTTTTAGAATTGCTCAAAATTGTCAAAAATTTTATTTATTTAATTGTCTGATTCTAATTAATGATCCATAATAGGAATAATGGAAACAGCAAAGATATTTGCTGGAGTTGACGCGACGAAAGAACCAATACCTGTAATCCCAACTGTTCATTATAATATGGGAGGAATACCAACCAATTACAAAGGTCAAGTCATAACTTATTCAGCAGAAGGAGGTGATAAAGTAAGCCTAATTTCTCGAGAACTTTGAGGGCAGCAGTAAAGTGTGAAAGAATTTTCATATTATCACCATTTTTACAGAAGAGCATTACAAGTTTTTGAAATAAGGGACACTGCAAACGTTGAAAGTAGTCGAACAGATCGGATTAGAAGTAGCATTTTTTAGGAATAATAGTATGACATTTGATTTATGACCTATGATCTATTTGGAAATATTTTAGGTTTCAATCGATGACTATGACTATTTTTAAGCGATGATAAGACTTATGACTATTTATTCTGAACTATGACCTTTAAGTGATTCTCTTTACCCTTCCAAACGATACGAGTTCTCTAACACATGACTCTTTAAATATGCTCTCAACCTCTACAACTCACAAATTAAGTACACCTGAGCAACTGCAATTTAAGTACGATAATTGGAGGAAGCAAAGCTACGAAACTTAAATAATATTTGAATCAGAGCAATGTTGACAAAATATCTATTGGGGTTGAAGTATTTAGTGCTAGTTCGATTTGAAAATGAATATTAGTAACAAACAAAATGACGTGAGGGCCAGTAGAACGAACTGTGACCCTAAAATTGCAAAAATATTCAAGAATCACGGGAGTTGGACTGACATCTACTGCTCAAAACATGTAACGAACTCATATCTTGACTCAACGTGAATGATGCCGCATTCCAAAATGAGTTTAGTCCGTATTAGTTAGTGTTTGCAGCTGATACCAGGACTACTTGCATGTGGTGAGACAGCTGCACATTCAGTTCACGGAGCGAATCGACTAGGTGCTAACTCATTGCTGGACACCGTTGTATTTGGAAGAGCCTGTGCCCTCAAGTATCCATAATTAATTTTCTGTGAACTTCACTCAAAACTACCCTTCGTAAAAGTCCTCAAACTAACACGTCCCTTACCATTCAAAGAAAAATTTTCAACAATTTTTTTCAGCTCAATAATATCAGTTCTACAAGGTCTAATTAAGATGCCGTGATAATATTCTTCAGATATTATTCTTTAACTTATGGCTACTTTAGAGTAAATTATTCTGGGGCAATAATTTCAGTATTTTGGAACAGTGGAAATCACACGGATCTAAAATGCTGGATTTACCAGCGAACATTGGCGAAGCAACGATTGCTAATCTGGACAAGATTCGTTTCGCAAAGGGAAGCATTCCAACTAGTGTGTTACGTCTGAAAATGCAGAAGACCATGCAACGTCATGCTGCAGTTTTCCGACGTGGTGATATTCTACAAGTATGCATGGTCTAAATTTTTTAGGGAAGGCATGATTCTGATTAACTCTAAAGAATTCTTTTGTAACGGTAGAAATTGAGGATAAGCTGATGTCAGATATTTATGATAGAAATGAAGGATAGCATGGTGGAATAGTCTAAAGTTCCCGTCATTTGGTTTCAATACTAAATTTGCGAAACAAAAGTTGAAGTTCTAAACAGAATCAAGCACCATGTCATTTTTATCAAAAAATTGTTTTCTAAAAGTAAGCAAGAGTAAAAACATCATCCGAATTTCTGATTCTTTTAAATATTATTTGAAGAATCCTGACTGAAACATTTTTCTTGCATTTAATTGTTATTAACATGGAATTATCTTCTGGTGTTCTTCACTACTTACTGATTCAATTTGCTTTGACTCTTAATCTAAGTTAGGGGAGCAGATCAGTGACTGATTAAAGGTAGAATTGTATGAAAGGAGCAGAAAAAAATTCATGTTGCTTATTAAACATATCATTATGTTCTTCGCTTAGGAGGGGATCAAAAAAATGATACAAATTTTTGCGGAACAGAAAGATCTCAAAACAACAGACCACGGACTTGTCTGGAATACGGACCTTATTGAGACTTTAGAGCTACAGAATCTGTTGCTCTGCGCAGTACAAACGATCGTTGCTGCAGAAGCGCGTAAAGAATCCCGTGGTGCTCATGCTCGTGACGATTACAAAGTATTCACTTTCATTGTTTTGTATATCTCGAGAATGCGTATATTTTTGCACTAAACTGCCAGATATTTTTTTGTTTTAGCAACGAGTAGATGAGTTTGATTATTCGAAACCTTTAGCGGGCCAAACCAAAAAACCCATAGAACAGCACTGGCGCAAGCACACAATAATCAACCAGGATGTGCAAAGTGGGAAAGTAAGTCGAGAATGAGCTCTGATTCAGACATGAACGCTAAAATTGATTCTCTTACGAGTGTAAAATAGTTTGAGATGAGACAATTTTGTTTCCACTACTAAACATACTAACTGCATTCTAATAGTACTTTACTTAAGTTCCAGCCCGAACACAATTACATCTGCTCACCAATTTGTCTTCAAACTAATACTTACTTTCTACCGAATGACACTTACCACAAAATAAATAATGCTTAAGCCTTAAGCTTAAGCTTAAGATGTGATATTTGCTTGCAAACCAATAATAATGTCATGCAGAGAATGGCCAGTAAGTAATAAATATTTGCATACAAATAACTGTTTGGTAATTACTGTATCGAATAAAAGCAAACTGCAGGTGAAGCTAAGTTACCGACCTGTGATCGATGAGACGCTAGACAAAAATGAAATCGAATGGATACCGCCAGTGCTTCGTAAGTACTAAATCAGTTCACGGATGATCGGATGTGCATAGTTTCACAAGAAAATACCATCGACGTTACCTAATGTGAATAGTTTTTGACCCAATATATTGCCCATTACTTCTGTTGTTTCGTAATATTGCCGCCACTTATGCTGGCGAGACCGATGTACAATAACTTCTTTGCAAAATTTCCTTGTACTTGAAGTAGACGTTTTGTGAATAATTCGATTAAGTAAACTAGACCTAACCAGGAAATGGCAAGTCGCACTCCCAGGTCACTACGTGCTAGCGTTCACTCTTCAAATCTCGCTTGCCAGTCTTCGCTTATCTATCACTCCGCACCCAACTATACTATCACCTGTCTATATCGCTGTGTACTCACCACATCTGAACAGCATTTGAGTGCCTGAAATTGATGTATTGTACGTGCATTATGTGTATGTGCATATGAGACCGACAGTGCAAGTCTGCATATGTGCAGAGGTGGACTAGTGCACGCCCTGTCTGTGTGCACTATGCTGTCAGCTCTACAAGGCTGCGTTCATTCGCAAGCGTTCCACTGCATTATTACAAGTGCTGTCTGCACTGCCCTCTGTCTCTCTCTCAATCAATAGTGCACTTTAATGAACCACAACTTCAATGCGTAGTATTTGCATCACTTGTTGGAACGCTTGGTAACATTACTTGTTTACTTAGGTACCTCTTTGCACGTGCATTCAGAAGCTTAAGACTGTGCGTTGGACTGGCTGTTCTGTGCAACGAGGAAGCAAAGTAAAGAAATAAGCTGTGGGATGTATGATATTAAATTAATCGTTTGTGCTGAGAAGTGTGTGTTCATTTCGTGCTTGCATTCATTTGCAAACAAATTCTGCAAGGAATGGTTCGTGTCGGAAGGTAGGCACGCCAGTGGGGTTCGCTCGTAGAATCATTGGTTTCTTACTTAAGCGATTGCCTTTACACCATTGCTTCAGTTTAAGTTTTCATTCTTGGTCTCTATCACCTTTGATAGAGCAATAAAATGTTTTTATATGCATATATTATTTGCTACTGCCAGATCTTTAGCCTAATCTAATCAGTAGTAACTTTTACACACTATGGAAAAATTAGCAGTTAAATGGGAAGGGTACATGTATCTGTTGGACTTATCATCCCAACTTTAGAGCAAGAAATGTGGTGCTCTCATTGACAAAGGCCTTTTAATATGCGAATAAGACGCCTGTGTACCTTGACCTATGTTGTTGAGAATGCTCTTTTACACGTAAATAATTCTGCTGAATTTGTTTCGGTGTTCAAATTTGAATGGGTGTAGATGGGAATGAAAACTCGTAGGAATTATGACTGAATTTTATTACAGCATGCTTACTGCGGCCCGTTGTTTGTTGACAAGGACATGTCAGAGAGCATTGTCAGTTTCAGCAGTAAGGAATGATACAAAAACTTCTAATATTGCTGAGTACAAGGTTGTCGATCATGCGTATGATGCAGTTATCGTTGGAGCTGGTTTGTTTATTTATATGTCATTTTAATTAAACATGAAGCACTACTCATCACTAGTACTTGTTAAATTTGGTTAATTCATGTCATTAATTCGACCCTGCACGCTTAATAACTGTAGCATAGTCTTTCGCTCCTACATCTTTTCCATACATATATATTTATAATTAATGAAAGGTTATTAACCGATTCATGGAATGTTAAATATTGGTAGCAAAAGATATGTAGGCCCATGCAATCAAATTTATTTTTTTCCAAGAAATTGTAAGCATTTGAAAACAATGCAGGTGGAGCCGGTTTACGGGCGGCAATGGGTCTTAGCGAAGCTGGTCAAAATGTAGCTGTTGTCACGAAACTATTTCCAACGCGGTCTCATACGGTTGCTGCTCAAGGAGGTGTTAATGCAGCCTTGGGTAACATGAATCCGGATGACTGGCGATGGCATTTCTATGATACTGTCAAAGGTCACGTTGATGTTCTGATGGTGTGAAAATGTTGTAATTTTCATTTCTACTTAATTTAAAATGAATTCACTACTTTATCAAATTTAGGTAGTGATTGGTTAGGGGATCAAAACGCTATACATTATATGACTCGTGAAGCGGTTCGTGCTGTCACTGAAATGGAAAATTATGGTATGCCTTTCTCTCGAACAGAAGAAGGTAAAATCTATCAGCGTTCATTTGGTGGACAAAGCAATAATTTTGGGAAAGGTGGATTAGCTCGTCGGTGAGTTTTAATTTAATCGATCTCATAACATATAGATATTCATGTTAAAGTTTTGTTTCAGGACATGCTGCGTAGCTGACCGTACTGGACACTCAATGTTGCATACATTGTATGGTTCGTCCCTTCAGTACAATTGTCGATATTTCATTGAATATTTCGCTCTTGATCTAATGATGGATAGTGGTCGATGTGTAGGCGTTGTAGCAATAGATCTGGAAGATGGAAGCATTCATCGATTTAGGTCCATATATAATATTTTTTAAAATAGAGTGGTTCGCTATTGGTAGCGTTAATGCAATAATTAATGTGTTGCAGTTTGTGTCAAAACTCTTGCTGTCAAAATAACTATCACAGCATTGACTGATAATGTAACGAATATGCAGAGATATTTATCAAATCTATTCTGCATAATGCGGAATTATATCGCTTCAAAAGTTTGCTGTTTGATCGCTTGTTCTTACTCTGTCTTGTTTACAGGGCTAAGAATACGGTGATTGCTACTGGAGGTTATGGACGAGCATTCTTTAGCTGCACATCAGCGCATACTTGCACTGGTGACGGTACTGCAATAGTTGCTCGAGCTGGATTGCAAACTTCAGACATGGAGTTTGTGCAGTTTCACCCTACTGGAATTTATGGCGCTGGGTGCCTTATTACAGAAGGTTCCAGAGGTAAATTTGATATAATTTTGATATGTATAGCACACGGATACAGTAATGATATCATTATTAGTACTGGCCTGATCATTCGTGCTGTACTTACCCTGCGTTCATCCTTACTGTGCTGTTTTCCATTGCTTCATCCTCATGCAAAGAGTTTGAGATCATGTGCAAATAATAAATCGTTCGTTAAATGCCTTCCTTGATTAGTGCAAATCTCCACCATTGGGTATCTGATATTAAGCCTACGGCTCATTGGGCCCATGCACAAAACGAATAGCAATGAGGAAAAGCTGTCATCTTGGAGAATTGTTGACTGTATTTTCTTCTTTATTGGTTTTTCCATTACTTTTCAGTGCAGCTACCTATTTGCATTTGACTTTTCTCAAAAACCTACCGATCGACGCTGAAATATTGAGCCTTTCAATATACTTGATCATATGCTCGTAATTAACTAAATTGAACCTTTATGAACATCCCACATATTCTATGCTCTTTGCATGCCGCCAGATTTAACGGTGCTTGTTCTTTCTCATTTTAACCTTGGACAACAGTTCCTGAATAGTCAACCGAAAGTAGTCTTCTAGTGACGACATCCATTTGCTTGGCACGTGTCAATTATTGCTAATTTTCAATGGTTAGATTTGCAGGTTATTGGCCTGGATTTGCTACCTTTGCTTGGGCATATTTTGGTATCAGATAAGTAGTTCTATTTCTCTTCATCAATGCAGATCCGTCAAATTTAGATTAGGAAGATGCACTTCTTAATAAAGGAGTTGTAGATTCAATCGAGGCCTGCCTTCCAGTTGGGCAAGAAGTTATCCAAATTCGACTTCAGTGGGGAAGGTATTATGCAGTTCGAGTTCTTTCAGATATTCGTTGTGTCGAATATTGTCATCCTTCCCTAACTCTGAGTTCCACATCGTACTTTAAAAATCCCTGATTTTTCTGTTCTTCCGTTGTGGCTGACAGGCTGTTTTTCAGTCGGATCCCTATAGAAAGCTTCATCTGGATGCTCAAATTTGGCGTTTTGGATTTTAAATGCTCTCAGGATTCGTAATTTCTAATTTTACAATTTTACTTTCGTAAATTTTCACACGCTTTCTCAGCATGCTTAATTACCTCACGAATGTCACGTTTGAGAGCAGTATGAGATTCATGCTCGTACATTTCTCGGTCTTCCGTAAGTGTTTATCTTCAGGCGTTTATTCGGCCAGACATCGCTCTATGAGGGTTTGTAGAAGTTAGACAAGCTTGCCTTCCGTCCCAATACCTTGTCATGTTCTCATAGTATTGCTGTACCACCTGGATCTGCCTTGTAAGATCAGTCACTGACATTCTGTGTGGCATATTCACCTGCTGCTTGGTTTACTGCTACAGGTATAAGCGGTTCTCCCGTCTAGGTCTGTCGCACGTCTTCAGGCCTTTTACATCAGTATCAGGCGTTTATGCTTTACGTTCATAAAAAGCCGAGACTTCTGTCACGTATCTTCCTTGAAGTAGGTGTTATGTGTCTTGACACGCTTTGCTGTCTCTTCTAAGAACCGCTTTTTTGACCATAATTCTAAGAACCGATCACTTCTATTGTCCCAATTTACAATTGTCACTACTAGTAATGATCGCAGAATTTGGTTGCTTCAGTTCTTAGCGGATAATTGCACACATATACTTCTCTCAATGCAGATAACAATGCAATGGCCATATTTCTCTCGATATTCTTCCAAAACGGTCACGAATCGCTTTCAGCACCTTTCCTGACCACCTGTAGTTTTCAATTATGATTGCAGATTTGGTTTTTTTGTTTTCCCTCCATTCTCCTAGAAATTTTTCCAAATTTTGACTGTATATCAATGAAGCATTCTGATACTTCCTTTTTGTTCATACTATCGGTCTTTATTTTTTTTCCTGTTTATTTTTCCTTCAAAAGTATCAGAACATGTTGTTTTATGAGTGGTATCTTTATGATTCATTGCTCCATTCCGCTTATTGGCATCTCCTGTGAAGCGGCAAGTTCTTCCGTTCATAGCCATAAGATGACTGATCTGCTTGTTTTATGATTTTTTTTTTGTGTCATTACTATGTTTCCACTGTTCTGGCTTAACTGCGGTTACTATTGTAGGAGCTCTCTAGTACTGTCGTTATCTGTTTTCATAATAGCACCATAATAGTTTTTCGATACAGATGAAGATAGGACAGAGATTGAAAAGGAGACTAAAAGTAACTAAAAAGTAATGGCCAAACAAAGTTTATCTCAAAGCTAAGTAATTGAACCTCTATATTTGCATCATTTACCTGGATGTATGATTTGTGAATATTGTGATTTCAGGTGAAGGAGGTTTTCTAGTTAACAGTGAAGGAGAACGATTTATGAAAAAATATGCCCCGAATGCTTTAGATTTGGCTTCAAGAGACGTTGTGTCGCGAGCAATGACAATTGAAATTATGGAAGGGCGTGGAGTTGGAAAGCATAAAGACCATATTTACTTGCAGCTACATCATATACCTGCTAAAGATTTGCATGCTAAGCTACCAGGTTACGTTATTTTCTTTTAGTTTATTGACATCTGTGGTTAGATTAGTTATATTCACTAATGTTATTGTATTTAATTCAGTGACAGTGAAATAAGCGTAAAGAACTGCTTTGTGATTAAATCGATTGAAATATATAATTTTTTATTTTACTTGCACTCTGATTGCTTGCTGTGCATTGAAGCTCATTACTTTTTAGGTATTATGGAAACAGCATTGATTTTTGCTGGTGTGGATGCTGCAAAAGAACCAATACCCGTATTACCAACTGTTCATTATAACATGGGTGGTATACCGACAAACCATATGGGACAAGTTCTAACTCATAAGCCAGATAAAGGTGATCAGGTAAATCTGCATGATTCTGTTGAAAAAAGTTTTTTGTCTCCAACATTCTACACAGAACTTTTGCTATTATTCATATCGTTATATATTGTAGTTGGTACCCGGACTTTATGCTTGTGGTGAGGCAGCTGTACATTCTGTACATGGAGCAAATCGTCTTGGTGCCAATTCATTACTTGATCTTGTTGTTTTTGGCCGCGCTTGCGCAATTGAGTAAGTTTTTTGTATCATATAATTTTATTTTACTATTTTTGCTAGTACTTTTTCAACCATTTTGTAATGGTTTGTTGGCTTTTAGTATTATCGATAAGGCCAAAAAGTCCCCTGAAAAGATTCCTGACTTGCCGAAAGATGGCTGTGAATCATCAATTGCTAATGTGGACAAGATTAGGTTTGCTAAAGGGGATATTCCTACTGCCGATTTAAGACAAAAAATGCAAAAAACTATGCAACAACATGCAGCGGTTTTCCGCCGTGGGGATATTTTGCAGGTTGGTTGTCGAGAAATGGAATTTAACAATGAACTTCAGGAAAGCGAAGTTTTTTTGAAGGACATGGGAGAAGGAAGTAGTGTACTTTGATGAAAAAAAGTGAAGCACTCGTCGACAGAAGTCATGCTTATGTCGACATTGCAGGAGGGTATTAAGAAGATGGAAAGTCTTTTCAAAGAACAGGATCACTTAAAAACAACAGACCGAGGGCTGGTATGGAATTCCGATCTTATTGAGAGTTTAGAACTGCAGAATTTGATGTTGAATGCAATTCAAACCATTGTTGCTGCTGAAGCTAGAAAGGAATCTCGTGGAGCTCATGCTAGAGACGATTTTCCTGTATGTTTTTTTTATATTATTTACTCATTTCACTATTTTTTATCGATAAAGATTTCCGTGGTATTTATATACTTTTTTAAGCTATTCTGGTTTATTCGTAAGTTTGTGTTATTCAGAAACGAATTGACGAATTTGATTACTCTAAACCCTTAGAGGGTCAGACCAAGAAAACTCTTGATCAACACTGGCGCAAGCATACCATCATCAGTCAAGACCAAAACACTGGAAAAGTATGTAGCGTGAAGTTTATCAAAATAAATTAATGTGAACGGATAAAAAATTTTATTAATAGAGTGTAGCTAAAAAAGTTTGTTGGAGAAGTTTCATCAATTTTTTGAATGATTTACGATTTTTCAGGTTACTTTGAGCTACCGACCAGTAATTGATCAGACGCTGAATAAAAGTGAGACAGATTGGGTTCAGCCAATGATCAGATCATATTAAATTTGTAATATTGTTGCATGGTCCCTTGTATTTTTATGTTGTATTTTTTTTTTGCTAACTTTGCTAAATTATGAATTTAAACCAATAATTGTTGAACCGATAAAACTATTGTTTTTGTTCTGAAGTAACGGTAGGCATTTATTGATATTAGCATTTCCGTATTAAGCATGTAAATGAGCACACAAACTGCATAATGAACAGTTTACCATTATATTCTGCTGTGCGCATTATGGTTTATATAATGAAAATCTGGTCAGTATTCGATGTGATCTTTGTAAATATTACAGTGTAAGCGGAGAATAATGGTATTTAATAATAAAACTGCTTAATTTATTGGTGGAAATTTGTGTGGGAGGGTTCCTAAAGCTAAAGCTAGAGTGAAATGTAGTTATGTCGATATTTTTATTTTATTTTTGAGAGACCGCGCGTAAGCTTATTTAATTTGAACAGTAGAAAGGTGGAAATTGTCTGTGACTGCAACTGGTACCCTGTTTTTTGTATGTGTTGGCGGGACGTGTAATTTTCTTAGCGGCACTCTTTTAGAGTTAATATATGGTGGTATATTTACATAGTTCCTGGAATCTGGTTTTTTTATCGGCCGAAAGTTGAGTGTGTCTGTCATGGGGTATATGTGGATTTGGATAGTCGTTGCGAAGTACTTTGCTAATGTGTGTCTTGAGTCTTGTCACTGCTGAAATAAAGTTTTCGGTATCATTTATCTTATATGAATATGCGTTTATGATTTGGTAGGTGGGCAAGTATATTGATTATGATCATTGAATTATTGTGACACTGCAGGTAATGGTTTACACTAATTATTGTGGCTGGGATTTTAGTGTTAGTTCAAGTCTTGCTCTCTATAAACGCATTTGAGTAATACAAGCTATTATATTACTTGAGAAGCATTCTTATGTACGGGAATTATGAATGTCAGCGAGATCGATGATGCTGGCATCACTGGCGATGATAATGAGGTTAGTCTTTCTGTACTGTGGTATCAGTAATTACAAATTTAGAAACTTTTAGCTTAAAGTAATTTTATTTCTCATTTAAATCTGTAGTGATTGATAGTGTGTTTCGTTTATTGAATATTACATGTCTGTTTTTTGATATCATTGATATATCTTGACAAAGAGCAGATTTTGAGGAAAGGATCTGTTTGCGGCTGATGTGAATGATAACATTTATCAGCACATGTTCTGACATTCAGTTACTTCCATATTTTTATTCAGCAATCAAATAACGAATAAGGATTATCAGAATGAACATCAAATAAATCTAAATGCAGATTAATTCATGTTTAAAATAAAGATCGAAAGAAGAAAATTGTGTTCTGACGGAATTTTTACCAAATATTAGTTTTAAAAAGTCTACATAATCGAATTCTTTTAATGTCTGAATAATTTTGTTCACTGACATGAATTATTGTTATGGCAGTTACTTAAATTGTTTCTTACTATTCTCTCAGCCTTTCTAGTCTTTAAGAATATCTTCTTATTTTTGAATATCTTTCTTTAAGAATATCTTCTCAAAGACTAGAAAGGCTGAGAAGAAATAAGTTGTTGTGAATCTTGATGATATCGAGTTATGTTATGATTATCCGATAATAGAAAGTTATTGGGGCGTAATTTTGTTTTGAAATTGTAGTTGAGTGACGATCTGGTTCAGAAAGCCTTTGACTCTGGTGTTGGTTTACGACAGTATGCGAAAGATTTGGATGAACAGTTGCAGTCAGCTCATTCGCTTGCAGTAAAACACTGTATCGACCAAGCAGAAAAACTTGCGGAATTACATGAAGAAATTACTGCTTGTGACGATGCATTTGCGGTAATAATTTCTGTAGATTTTTCTATTATAAATAAATTGTATTTTCCTAGTTGAACATACTAATTGCAGTTCCGATTCATAATGGATTCATAATTTAAAAAATGTCATGTTCAACAGATTTTGTTGTTTAAAAAAAATGGATTTTGATGGCACTAAAGTATATGCAGAGTGCTGCTTCTTTGTTTCTTTTACGGTACTCTTATGAAAGCAGTTTTTTAAATTTTAGGAATTGGAAGATATACTTAAAAGTTTCCAATCGGAATTGGGGACTATTAGCTCAGATATGAAAAGACTGCAACAGCAATCAGTTGATATCAGTCTACAATTACAAAATCGACAGAAAGTTCGTGGAGAATTGAGTCAATTTGTTGATGACATGATAGTACCTCAAAATATGATTCAGTGGGTTTTTTCTTTTAATTTTTACTGCTAATTCGGAAAGAAATTTGCTGGAATATGAATTTTACAATTGAATCAAAATCAAGAAATAAATAATGTGATGAATCTTTCATGTGATTTGCTTATTCATAATGTTGAAAAATGCTTGTGTTGATATCTTCCAGAGCGATTCTTGAGAAAAATGTAGACGAGCGGGGTTTTCTAGAGCAACTTCATGAATTGCAGCACAAGCTTCAGTTTTTAAAAGCGCAAGAATTTCGTGATGCAAAAGCTACTGCAGATGTACATGACATTGTTGAGAATTTAAAATTCAAGGTTAGTTTTATTTTAGTCTTTTTGAATAATAACGTACAGCAACGCTCGTTTTCTGTAGGAGTTGCAGACATAAAAATATCAAATATCACCCAGCATTGCAGGCAATGTCAAAAATTAGAGAGTGGTTGCTGCTGAAAATTTCATCTTTCAAAAAACCACTCACCAATTATCAAATTCCTCAGGGAGCTCTATTAAAAAATAGGTTTGTTGTTATTGAAAAAAACATTCTTTTATCTAGCGTTTATAAATATCACAAGCCATTTTCAACGTGAAAAGACAATGTTAAAGTATTTCAGATTTTTTTACGAATTTTTACTGGCAAATGACAGGCATGTGGCTCGAGAGGTAACTGCTGTTTACTCCCAAAGTTTATCATGTTTAGTTCTATTCATTTTTCAACAGCGTTTTCTGATTCTTATTCAGATACGAGACGAGTACATTGATGTCATCAGCAAAATGTTTTTCACTTATTTCAAAACATATACTTCTCGGTTATTCCGTCTGCAAGTAAGTACCTCAGTTTTCAATAACTAGTATTTCTTGGTGTGCAGTTGAAGAAATTAAAATTACAGCCTCTTCTTGGCATTTGTTTTTTGTTTATTTATTGAGTTAACTCTTTTTTCCTTCCTAAATAATTATACATTTTCTAATTTTAGCTGTCTGATGCAGCCACCAAAGACGATCTTTTAGGTGCAGAAGATACGATGAAGTCTTCTGGCTTTTTTAGCTCAAAACCTCAAGTATGTAATGCCCTACTGTATCATGAAAAGAGTTTGGTTACTATGTTTTAAATATATTCGTTCGTATTTTTTTTCCTGCTTTCTTTTCACTTTTTCAACTTTTTTCCTCTAATAATCATTTAAACTGACGTTTTGAAAGTTAATTATTGTTTTCCTTGTTAAGTATTAATCAGTTTCTAATTTAAGATGCGGAATCGGGCAACTGTCTTTTCGCTGGGCAATCGAGATAGCTTGTTGTGTTCAGATTTAATGGCTCCTCTTATAGTACCACATTCGGCGCAACAAGCAAATGAACGAGTTTGTTTTCCATTAACATATCCCATCAACGAGTAATTTAAGTACATTGTTTTCGTTCCTAGAATAGTGACTCCTGAGTATAAAAGTTTTACTGCATATACCTTGATTACTCTTTGTTTAAAATATTTTATAATTCTGCAATTTTTACGCAGTTTCAATTGCAACTTTACAGAACAAAGTTATTACAGTTTCAATTCGAAAGTTTGTTTCGAAGTGTGCAGTTTGCGTTCGTTGATCATTCCTCACACGAATTTTTATTTGTATCAGACTTTTTTATGATAACTGGACAAACTGCTTTAGAAGTGTTCAGCGAGATTATGATGCGAACTATAACAACTTTGTTGGTTAGTGATGTCGAAATATGAAGTCATTAGAATTATATAATATTTAACAAGATGAACTTAAGTTATAATGTTTATCTCAGAACAAGTTTTCTTTTATAATGTAATCTTTTGTGATTAATTAGAATTATGCATTGCAATTGTCTGCTTCTTACCTCGGCGTATGAAATTCTATGGAGCTGCATCTTCACTGATGTCCCCTACCTTTTGCAGAAATCATGTGAAGAGCATATATCTGTTAATTTTGATGCCATATCACTTTACATATGCATTTGTTTATGTTCAAAATACAAAGAGTTAATGGCCGAGCGCGGAGTTCCTACTTTGGAAAAGTAACAGTTTTTTCGTGTTTTTGTTTCAAAATGCAGTTATATTAAAAATCTCTGTAGAATCAGAAGTTTTTGTAAATAGGAGGAAGTAAAGCTTCTAAACTGCAGTTATTGGGAGACCCTGAGTTGTACACTTTGGTTTCGTTTTGACATAGTGATGAACTTACATAATACGAGTTTACATGACCTTGATGTGCGTAAAATGCAACTGCTGCCAGACACTCGTCCTCATTATGTTAGTGTTTCGTAATTTGTAATTCTTTAATCCTTACACTTAAATTTATTTGTCTGTGTCGGATTTCTTTCCAACATCAATACTTTTGCATTGTATGGCAATGTGCTAATTTCTATTACTGTAGATTATAAGACGTTATGCAGAGTTCACTTCTGCTTTATTGGTTTGCAGTCATTCGTCTGCGCGACAGATCGATCCAAAATTGCAGGTTTTATAACCGAATATTTTTTACTTTTAACTTCTTTTTATTGTTAGCGACCATTCTGTTTTGACACTTCTTTTAAAAGTCCTCAACTCAGAGTTGAAAGTACCATTATATTATATACTTTTGAATTCTTTATAATGGATTTAGCATTACTTAACTAAGCAACAATCCGAAGTCGAGAATTTCTTAATGCGTCTGACAGAACAACTATCAACACCTTTACAACGTCTCATTTGTCTCATCAACAACTATGATCTGATACTTAATATTTATGAAGTATGATTTTTATTTACATTTGATTTCTTATTTATTTGTTTGCAAATCAAAAGGTATTTCTATGTTGCAAATGTAATATTAGGAGCGAATAGCATTTGATTCGAAAGAAAAATCTTCATTTTGGGAACTAAAGCAAAATCGTATTAACGAATACGTTGATTTGATGCTTCGGCCTCATTTTGGTAGTCTTATAGCATTTGTGAAGGAATGTGAACCTCTGATTGAACAGGGACACAAGCAGCTTCTTATTCGTTATTCTGGTAAGATTATTTAGAGCAAACTCGTTTCTTGCAATTTGATGTATATAAATATGACCTCATAACTCGTCCGATTTGTGAAAAAAGCACTGCGCTTTTTTTTACTCATAAAATGGCATGCTTTTTTGCTTGTTATAAATGACATATATATATAATTCTATTTTTCTGAAGGGGGAGTTTTTGTCAAATATTGCAAGTAATTCTGCTCACTCGACTGATTTTTCAGGTAATGTAACAACACTTGTACGTAATTTCTGTGCAAACTGGAAGAAATCAATTGATGTGATTAATAGTGAAATAGTCCAGTCATTTACAAATTTTAGAAATGGCACCAATATTTTGCAGGTTTAGTTATGCTTTATTTTGTTTTCTCTGCTCTGTTCTGGTAAAAGTTTGTACTTGATTTAGTTATTTGTTTCAGGTTGCTTTCACACAAATTGTTCAGTATTATCATCGGTTTAGCAAAGTACTGTCTCATGAAATTTTTGCAGAAAATGCTGTACTGAAGGAACTAGTAAATATTCATCACATTATGGTAGAAATAAAGAAGTACAAGCCGGTTTATTAATTTCTAAATTTTTTTTAGTTTTCAGTTCTCGAACATTTTTTAATATCTGTGGTTTCTACTTGAGATTGGTCTAATTTGTGTCATAGTGAGTGTAGTTATGTCTTTGCAGATTTAAATATGAGAATTTGTGGATGTTATTTTGTGAAGTTTTTGTGAAGATTGCTATATATTTTTGTGGTTTATAACTATTTGCATTCAGCTTATTCTAAAAGCTTTGAACTTCTGGAGAACTCAAAGATTCTCTGGTGGGAAAAACTTGTGATACATTTTGCTCTGAAGCAAATTTATACCCAAATCAGCTAGATCAAAGTATATATTTAAATGAGGTAGATCAAACTGGAATATGCGCATCTTATATTTATTAAAGAGGATAATCACAAGGAGTCAAAGAATGTGGGTCTTTTCCTTAAGCCAGTCATATTTATGTTCTTGTGACCTTCATTATGTGATGTAAATTTGTTTGATCATACCAGTAAGAACTAGTATTCTGTTTGGTGCCGCAATCTGTTAACATGTTTTGCTTGATTTTGTTCACGTAACTGCTATTAAAATATTCAAAAGAGATTGTACGTAGAATAAACGGCTGTTCTTGTTGTCTATTGTTCAGTTAAGCATAAAAATTAAAAAGCAAAGTAGTATGAACATTTTGTGATATGATTTGTCAGCTATAAGAAGAGGAAAGCCTACCACTGCTGAGATATTGCGCTGCAAGGCTAGTCACACTAGAGATTAAATGGATGTTCTATGTTTAGTTTAAATCTTCATATATCACTCATTGTATGACGTGGTGTTTGTCATGATTGTTTAGCGATATTCATGATCAGGGTACAAATTGAATGTGCAACCTTATTGTAGGTGGTTCTTGCATGTATTTCAGCTTATTGGTTAGATGAAAACTGAATCATTTTTAGATTTCCGCTCAGTATTATTAGATAAAAACAGATATATCTGACTTCAGGTGCAAAGTTATTAGAGTTTGTTCTTTTGCTTACATTTAACGTGTAAATTTATCGTCAATGATGGTTTTTCGTTCGGAACTTCCTGAGATGGTAAGGTCGATTATTCGTTTTCAACAGATTTTCTCAAAATTTATCTTTTTGATCATAGATTGAATGATAACATCGTTTGAAACAATTTTTGTGCTAAAAATGCATTGAAATTACGGATTTCAAGTAAACTCGAGAGCGCACAATACGATCAAGTTTGGAATATTTACTTTAATAGATCTTAAACAGTAAGGATTTTCTTGCTCTATCGATACCTTAGATATAAAGTTTAATGTGTCATCAAGGTTATAAATTCGAGATTCACAGTATTTATGGTTTTATGTTGCTACAAGTCAATCCACTTTTTGAATTATAAAATGAGAAGGCTTATGCTTATAAGAAATATCCGCGTATTATTGTAATTATACCGAGTACCCTACATGAAGATAATTGTGTACATTATAAGATTATTCTGTGGTACACGAAATACTACCTTTGCTAGCATCAGTTATTATTTAATTGAATAAAATGAGATCCGTTTGATGCAACACCAAATCGTATGCTTTGGCAAAGTATTGGGTTTTCTTGTACATTATTCTACCTATCATACGGTTAGATTTAATATAGTAAGCTTGATTATTAATTATTTTCACTCATGCCACTATTCGGATGGCTAGCTTTCATCGCTGTTCTAGCCAAGCAGGTTTGCTCTTTCCTTAAAGTCGTCTTCGAATTTAAAAAGTAGCGCTTTGCTCTGAGAATAAACGAAAGAATATTTTATTTGCTGTAAATATATATAAGAAATGACTGAATATTATTTCCAGAATTTTCCAAATTATTTTTTATTCCGACTTTTTCAGTGATGCAATGTGTCAATTATAAATCTGAAAAATGTGTAAAATATGCTCTCTTCTGAATATTGTTTAGAATGTATGTTGCAGTATATTGTGAGTATTGTTTAGAATGTATATTACACATGTGTATTTTATGGTTGTTGCAATACTGCTGTTGATCGTTTAGGTACAGTGTTCTCGATCGTATTGAACTGTGTTTGCTGCGAAGGGCTTGATATCATGGATATGCACGAAATTGAAATGATCTTCAGTGCCTTTTAGAATAAATTAATAAAACCATTTCAGTTTGCTTTCTTGTTGTGATATGTCATCGAGATGGAAGTAATTTTATTTGCTCTCATATTAATTAACTGCGAGTTTGTGAACTCAAATTACTCATTACAAAAAATGACCAGTATCAATATGCAAGTGTAAAACAAAAGTTGCACCTGCAACTACTGGAGAGACTTGCACAACAATAATTATACTACCACTGAAATACTTCATAGTGAAATTTGAGCAGCATGGAAAGTCTTCACTTTACAGACACAATAAACAAATATTGTCAACATTAGAACAATCTCTGGACGCTTTTCACTTAATTTTTACAATTACAATCCCGTTTTCTTTCATTTTAAGGAAACACTACTTGAGTATATTCATAATAATTACGCACTGAACTAGACTCAGTGACCATTGCATATTTTGTGAGGATGAACTCGATAAACTGACCACAACAGGAATTCACGTAGCATTGTATCATAAATCACGTAAGTGTCCAAACAGCCGAGATTTCAATCCTCAGTAATTGCTTTATTGCATCACATCTGTAAACAGAAGTAATTTTTAGCAGGAAGTAACAGAGATAATATTTTATAATGTAACCAGCATAGGAAAGGATCTACGATCAGAATGAAATTAATAAATTACAATATTACTACAAAAATGTTAGAACTTGTTATTATTGAGTGAAGATGAAGAGTGACGGGAAATACGAAAGGAATTACAAATTTGATGTAGGATACAAGATTTAGTTAAATCCACAAAGGTCGATCAAAAGTAATAAAGGATGACAAATGTAGCGACGAGAAAGGTCACATTAAAGTTTTCCATAAGCATAAATCAAGCTCTACCTGTCTTTGATAAGACATTGCGTGAATGAAGCAAACAGATAAGCAAGAGATGTTAGCATTCATTTTCTGCGCAACAAAATTAATTTCGGAAAATTCCCGTTGAAAATGAGTAATTGACCTTACCATCTCAAAAAGTTCCATACGAAAAACCTTCATTGACGATAAATTTGAGAATTTTAGGAGTTAAGTCGGGACATTCATCGAAGCCATCTCCACTCGCGACTTCACCTTCACCTCCTCCACCTTCATCTCTTTCCCCTCTTCCTCCTCCTCCT